GGGTCTCGCTCTTGCTCAGGCTGGTTTCGAACTCCTGAGCTCAAACAATCCACCCGCCTCGGCCTCCCAGAGTGCTAGGATTATAGGCGTGAGCCACCGCACCCGGCCTCACTACCCAGTTTTAATTTAGTTTTCACAATTGTGTGACGTAGCTACTGATATACCCATTTTATAAACAAGGTAACCCAGGATTAAAGGAGATTGAATAACTTCTCAGTATTATATACATTTGGACTATTGCAGTTTGGTTAAAAAAAAAAAATAACAGATCTTTCAGATTCCAAAGTCTTTTTTCTTAATATACTTATTCTCAAATGTTTTCCCATTAATATAATTTATTATGATGAAGCTTTTATTCTAGTGTGAATAGTCTGTTAATAAAATGTATAATGTCTCAGGTAGTGATGAATTCCATGCAGAAGAGTGAAGCATGTCCAGGAAGTGGAGAGTTAGGTGTCAAAAGGAAGGAGAGTGCTATTTTAGGTAGGTGGCAGAATAGGCACTTTTGATGAGGTAACTTTTGAGCAGAGCCTAGAATGAAGTGAATAGGAAGACAAGCTGATATATATGGGAACAAGTTTAGAATGTAAGCACAAAGACTCTGTATTAGTCTATTGAGGATGCCATAATGGAATACCATAGACTGAGTGGCTTAAACAAAATAAATTGTTTTCTCACAGTTCTGAAGGCAAGAAGTCCAAGATCAAGGTGTTGTTGGTGTCTGGTGAGGTCTCTTCTTGGCTTCGTATGTCTGCCTTCTCACTGTGTCCACACATGGCCTTCCTTTTGTGTGCCAGCAGAGAGAGATCTTTGATATCTCTTCATCTTCCTTATTACCTCCTTAAAAGTGTTATCTCTAAATACAATCACATTGGGGGTTAGGACTTCAACATGAGAATTTTGAGGGGAGATAGTTCAATTCATTGCAGACCTGAAAGCAGGATCCTAGATAGATATTTATTTAGCATATTTTTTATTTTTTTAAAATAAAATGAAAGCAGCTATGAGAACAACCTTTTAACTATATAGTATCATCTTTCCATACTCTCCCCATTTGCTTTCCAGTTACGTGATATTAAGCACCACCCTTATTTAAGTTAATTAAATGAAAACTACGTAATACAGTCCTATCTATTGCAGCATTTGGGCTTTAAAATAAATAGTAGATACACATAGTTATAGTAGATACAGAAGTTTTAATGTCCTTCAAGCACCATAAAGATAATTGTAAGCCAGGCATGGTGGCACACACCTGTAGTCCCAGCTACTTGGGAGGCTGAGGCAGAAGGGTCGCTTGAGCGTAGGAGTTCAAAACTAGCCTAGGCAACATTGCAAGACCTTATCTCTAAAAATAATAAAAATAACAATAATTGTAGCTAGAACACTAGGCTTCCCTTTGAATATAATACATTTTTGTGTGTTTTTTTAATAAACAATATAAATTGTTTATAAAAGTTCATGGACTTTTTTTAAAAAAAGCTATATATTTGTGTGTGTGTGTGTGTGTGTGTGTGTGTGTGTGTATAAATATATATACCAAACATTGTGCTAAGCTTTTTGCATATCATTTGCTTCTTGCAACAATTCTGTGAAATAGGTACCATTATTATCCCCAGTTTGACAGAGAAGAGAATATGAGCCAAATAAACAAAGAGTGGCAAAACCCCAACTTTCAAATACTGTATATGTAAATCTGCTTAGACCTTCTAATCTGGCCTGTTAGGTTTTCTGTTAATAAAAGACCAGTTCTGAAAAAGATACAAGCATAGCATTTACTCCTGAGATTGGCCAGCAAAATAAAAAAGACGAGTGGAACAATGCTGGGGATGATGCTCCTCTGGGACATGTACAATTACTCAGTAAATATTAATTAAGCATTTATGTGTGGAATACTGAAAAGGAAAATTGCTCCTGCAAGTTCATGCATTCTTCAACACGTGATTTTTTTAACGTTTTTTTTGTGTGTAAGACACTATTTTAGGCCTGGGAATATAGCAGTGAAAAAGACAATGTCTGCACACTTGTAGTTGATATGTAGTAGGGAGAAACAGATGAGCAAGTAAACATTACAACAAGGAACAACAGAAAATTTAAATCAATTTATATGACTGAGTACCTGTATGCTTATTTTAGATTGGTTTGTCAGTCAAAAGTGATATTTAAGCTAATAATTTGATGGCAAAAATGCAGTGTTGGGGGAAGCACAATCCAGGCAGGAATAAGCTTGTGGTGTTTGTGGGACAGAAATATTGGCTAGTGTGCCTGGAGCATAAAGAGAAAAAAAAGTAGAGTAGTATGAGAAAATTGGACAGATTGGCAGGGGCCAGATTATGTAAATTTATAAACCAGAGTAAGGAGTTGGTGTTTGACTCAAGTACAATATGGGTGTCTCTGGGGAGTTATATAGAGATGGATGTGATAAGGTTCAGTAATGAGTACAAAGTATAAGAGCAAATTGCTTTTATAATGTCTTTTCTTGCCCATATTAATTTCCTTAACAATATGTGTTGAGCATTAGGCACTGGTCCAGATTTTCCCAAGGACCAGTTAGTGATTTCCTGTGTATCCCAAAATTATTTGGTTACATGGAGTTTCACACATATTTAAAATGCATGCTATTTTGTAAATAAGCTGTATGCAAATTATTTTCACACCTTACGCTTTTTGAAACTTTGAAACCTACAGATAAACAGTTCTTGTAACTTGTTGATCTTGCTGTGTGGGTGAGGGGCAACAGGCTGTAGAAACAATTTTATATTTGTATAGTATTTTTAAAATGATTCCAAGTCTTACACTTTCTTCAAATTTAACTTTCCATCAGATAAAAGTAGATTGTACCTTCAATTTTTTTTTTAAGGCATTGTCTTACTTTGCTGCCTAGGCTAGAGTGCAGTAGCATCATCATAGCTTACTGCGTCCTCAAACTCCTGGGCTCAAGCAATCCTCCTGCCTCAGCCCCCCAAGTAGTTGGGACTACAGGCACGTGCCACCATGCCTGGCTAATTTTTTCCTATTTTTGGTATAGATTATGTCTCACTATGTTGCTCAGGTTGGTCTTGAACTGGCCTCAAAAGTTCCTCCTGCTTCGGCCTCCTAAAGTGCTAAGATTACAGGCGTGAGCCACCACACCCTAGCCCATTTGTTTTTATTCTTAGATCTGGAAGAGATCCAAAAAAAATTTAGTGTATTTCTCTCTGTGATAATTTATTTACATTTTTAACTGACAGAAATGAAATAAACAATTATAAGTATAATGTTAATATAAATTTTAATATAAGATGTACATTTTTTTATAATTTTAGTTATTTTGTCCAGTGATGATGATGATGACAATGACAGGTCTAATAGAAGAGAGAGCATATCTCCTCAACCTGCTGATTCAGCATGTTCTTCCCCAGCACCATCTACTGGAAAAGTAGAAGCAGCACTAAATGAAAATACCTGCAAAGTAGAGCATGAACTAAGAAGCATTCCAGTTGACTCAGAGTTAAATACAGTTACATTGCCAAGAAAAGCAAGAATGAAAGACCAGGTACTTTTCACATTTGTTGACATTTGTTCAGATTAAAGTCTCCCTTTTGGGATGTAAATATTTTTTCAGAGGGCAATTTGGTGGTGTCAATAGGAGAAAAAGATTGTTTATGCATTAAGTGGGGCTTAAATATCATGTGGAAGATTATTTGGAAGAACAATTTACCATATACAAAAATAAATTTCAATTAAACGTAAGTCTTAAAGTGTAAAAAATTCAACAACAACAAAAAGTATCAATCTTACAGCAAAATCTTAGTATATATAAGGAGATTACTTATAAAATCTAGTAAACAGGGAGAAGTCATTTTAACTTGGATGCATTTTACTATAATATTGTTATGTTTTATCATATTGTTTCATTTTATAATTTACTGTATAAAAATTTCAAAATGGAAATAGGTAATATAAACAGTGTTATAACTAGGCATGGTGGCGAACTCCTGTAGTTCTAGCTACTCAAAAGGCTGAGGCAGGAGGTTTGCTTAAGCCCAGGAATTTGATGACACCACTATACTCTAGCCTAGAGCGACAGAACAAGACCCTGTGTCAAAAAAATTAAAAAACCACGATGTCAGTAGACAAACAGATCCAGAGAGAATATTTGTAATATAGATGACATACTTTAATATCTATAATGGATTAAGAACTCTTAAAAGTTAGAGGATAAAAGAAAATGAACAAAGGGTAAGAATAGACAAGGAGAGGAGAAAATTCATATAGTAAACTATCACATTGAAAGTTCAAATTAGTAAGGAAGTGCAAATTAAAATGAAATATAACTGTACTTCACAGACTTACAAAATTGATATAAAATCAGCTAATATGTAGTGCTGGTAAGAATCTAAGGGAAAAGGTACTTTCCTAAAGGAAAACATTATTATTATGGCCTCTTGGGAAAGCCATGTGAAAATGACTATTAAAAAAATTTTTAGATACGTACTGTTTGACCAAATAGTTACTTCCTTAGACTCCATCTCAAAGGAGTCTCCCTTTTTCCCCAGTATGTAAGGCTGCATATACAAATACGATTATTGGTAAACAACTGTAAGCAAAATCTTTGCCCATTAATATGGATATGGCTGAAAAAGTTATATCCATACCATGCAGCCATTGAAAATAAAAACTAGAGCTATATTAATAACTTTTAGGATTTTTACATGGTACTGTTGAATAAGAATGCCAAGATACAGAAATATGTGCATATTATTTTAGTAAAGATATTTTATAAAATAATAGATTTATTGTTAAAAATTATGTAGGCGGGCTGAACGTGCTAGCTTAGGCACAGCACTTTGGGAGACTGAGGTGGGAGGATTGCTTAAGGCCAGGAGCTCTACAACAAAATAAAAAAAATTGGCTGAGTGTGGTGATTGACGCCTATAGTTCTAGCTACCCCTAGGCTGAGGCTGGAGCATTGCTTGAGCCCAGGAATTCCAGGCTACAGTGAGCTATGATGGCACCACTGCACTCCAGCCTGGGTGACAGAGCAAGACCTTATCTCTTAAAAAAAATCAAAAATTATGTATCTGTGTATATATATGTCTGAATTTATAAGAGTACAGATGAAAATATGGAAACATACATACTTGGTTAAGATGGGAACCTTACAAAATGAAAAACAACAAAAAGCAACCATAAGGATGATAGAAAAAAATAATAGATTAATATTTTTATGTAATCTTAAGGAATGCCTTTCCAAGCATGACAACACAAGCAAAAGTAGTAGATGAAGAGATGAGTATATCTGATTAAATGAAAAGTACAAAATAGTGTAGCAAAACACCAGAAGCAGAATTTGATAGGCAAATGCAATTGGAAAAATTGTGAACTTTGTGACAAATGTAAATTGATCCTTTATATATTTTTAATTTCCTAAAATCAAGAAATAGAAGCAAACCATAGGAAAATGAATAAAAGGAATGAATGGAGTTTCAGAAAAGGTAGTAATCAAAGTAGTAAAAATGAAATTAAAATACCATTTGTTAAGTGTCCAAATTACCAAAAATATTTGTAGTATGATAATGTGTCATCAGTGTTTGGGTATCTAAATTTGTATGACTTCGCTAGAGGGCAGTTTGGCAATAATTCTATATGTGTAGCTCTTTGGCGAATGGGTTGTCATGGGGAGAGATCAGAAAGACCTTAGAGGTCCAGCATGGAAGAATTTAGTTAAGTAGTGGATTTCCATGTGATGAAATTTTAAGGTGACCACTTTTCAGACTGGCACACTGAATCATAAGGGTACCTTGTTGTTCTTCTTGGTGATTCTCCATAAGAGAGTGTTGACCATCCACATTCTAGCCTCAGTCCCTCTACTGTTGATTCAGCTGAAACAGCTCTTAAATGATCTGTTTTATTAGTGAGCTAAATAACCTCTCTCAAACTCCTGGCCTCATGTGATCTTTCTGCATAGCCTCCCATAGTGCTAGGATTATAGGCATGACCCACCACACCTGGTCTAAATGACTTCTCTTATTAAAAAATAGCCCTAAAGCTTAAAAAAAATCTTATAAACCTAATAAGTTGATATTAATCTATGAAGAAATATTAATGATAAATCTGTTAATAAGCCTGAGAAAGCAGTTTACAAAATCATATATATATAGTATATATTATGATCACATTTGGTTGTAAATAAATATTTTTTCCTGTGACATAGATTATAGAAATATCTCTCGAAGGATAATGGGAATACTGCCTTTCTCTATGCAGTGGACTTATCTCCCCTTTATTTTATGGTCAAGCTCATGTTTTGTATTTGTGATGATAATAAAGATAATATAATTACTGTTAATTAAAATTATGTACTTACATAAAATATTATTTATTATAATTAATTTGTATTTGGAAGTGACTATGAAATAATGAAACTATAATTTAACAGATCAGGTAATTTAAAATGTGTAAATATATAAAGAAACATCTTTTTGTAATACAAAATAACCATGCTCCTAAATTACTTGTTTAAGTTTTACCAGATCAGATCATTAAAAGGTAGTGTGGCTTTTTGAACCCAGGCAGTCTGATTGCCACAGTACTATTCGTGATACACTACTGCTATAGTACTACTTGAGCTGCAAACTATATATAGACTGCTATACTACTACTTGAATTTGAAATAATAACTAAAGTACAACTAGATAAAAATAGAAGGGATTTACTATTATATAAAAACCATGAATTTTTATTTTATCTAATGCTATTGAAGGAAAATCAATTTAATGTGGTGATAGTTATTGGATCTTGTTTTCATATGTGTACTTAGTTTGCTTGTTTTAGTAAATTTTAAGTGAAAATTTTCTTTTCCTTTTCAGTTTGGCAATTCTATTATCAACACACCTCTAAAACGTCGTAAAGTGTTTTCCCAAGAAACTTTAGTTGATGCTTTACCTTTAAGCTGCCAAAAACCCTTTGACAGTGTCATTTTAAGCTGTCGAAGTATACGAGTAGGAACTCTTTTCCGGCTATTAATAGAACCTGTAATTGTGAGTACATTCTTAAGCTCCTTACTATATCAATTATAAGATTCAAAATTTCATTGCTAAAGCTAATATGTAATG